AACAGCTAAAGGTGAGATAGATACTTTATTATGGTATAGTATTTAAATATATGCCTGAGAAACACTTAATATTGGCCCTTTAATATCAGGACAGAGGGCTTACCTGAAGACCAAAACCTTGTCTCTTCTCTTGACACTTTCATCAATCAAGTGAAAGAGCAGAACCATTTTTGCAGAGTTCTCCAGAACTCCAATTTGGTAGTTTGACATTATGTCCTTCGCCTAAAAACAGATATTTTAGCAATAAATGTTAGCTGTGCAATACTTTATATTTAAGTGGTTGAGCTCAACTAGAAAAATATAAAAACAGCATGGAATCAGCTTGATGAGAAGTTTTTTTCAGGACATACCCATTCATATGTGATGACCTGATTGGCTCGGTCTTGAGATATGTTGACTAGCGGCAGGCTGTTGTTGACTTTGCTGTTGCTTGGGTCCGGTACTTTGGCCTTCAGACCAGTGCTGGGAGCAGGGCAGCGAGGGTTACTGGCTGAGGTGATGTCATCCAAGTCCAGGTCCTGTTCATTGGCCTGGTTTTCCTTTTGCAGTGCTTCATAAAGGACGTCCGGGTGATTCCAGATCTGTAAACATCGAGCAGAAACAGGTTTTAAACGTTGTAAAAAGATCAAATTTGTAGCGACTTAAACATTAGAAAAAAACCTGTCGTACTTTGCAGCAAACACAGAAGGCTTTGAGTGGGTTGAGACCGAGCCAACCACTGTTTCCCGCCTCTCGAAAGCGCTTCATGAACTCGGTATACAGTGCCTTCTGGACGGGCGAGAGGCGTACCAAGATCACAAACTCCTCCTTACTTGGAAGATGGTGCCTGAGCACGTCGTGACCTCGTCTGTGAATCAGAAAAGCAACACATGCAGCATTACAAATACAAACAGAATTTTTATTATTTTTAAAGCTTCTGAGCGTGAAAAAAAAAGAGTTCACCTCTGAACAAAACCCTCCAACAGGCTGTACAGCACGTGGCTGCGGTAGCGCATCAGGCGGACATCTTGAGGCGTGCTGTCCATACACTGGCCGTTCAGGATGGGACGCTCGAACATGTTGCTGAACTCCTGCCGCGTGCCTAAAAAGTCCGGTCGGACAAAGTCCACCATGCACCAGTATTCGATGAGGTTGTTTTGAAGCGGGTAACCTGTGAGAACCACCCGGCGCCGGGAACGAATGCTCTTTAAGGCCTGYGATGTACTGGCATGGTAGTTCTTGATGCGATGGCCCTCATCACAAATCACCACGTCGGGCCCCGGCCGTACGATGGCCTTTTCAATGCCTAAAACCAAAGAATGAACCCTGAGATAAAACACCCCAACAATAAAGTCCATTAAAGTTCCTGCAGCTCCTGTTTCTGCTACCTTTCATGAGTTCTTGCTGTCGATCCTCTTCATCCAGGTCAATGATGACCGGTCCGACAGGCTTCTTTGTTTTCCTCTTCTTCCCCATCACAAAGCTCTTCTTCATGGACAGCAGGCGGTACATCTCATAACCCATCAACAGCACACCGCCATCTCTGGACCACTCCTCCACAACCTTGGCCCTAGCCACCGTTGTTCTGCGGGTCAAACAGTCAGCATGAATGATAAATGTGACCCATTGCATCGAAATGAGGATTATGTCAAATATGGTCAAAATGACCTAATCATATTTTCAGATTCCTGGTTTTAAAAGCTACATTTTGATACTTAGATCATCCTGATATCTTTAGTAGATCCAGAGATATTATTTAATTTGTCTTGTTGGTTACAATAATACATAAATATTTGGTCTAAATCCCAATTTTATATCATTTTAATGAGGATTTTTATGTCATTTTAAAAAAGAAACCTCAAATAGTATTTGAATATTGAGATTCCCCAGCTGGAAAGAAACAAAAGCTTTGATGGCTTACAGGGAAAATCTCAACATTTTAAGGCGTTATTCCTCAAAATCAGATTTTTGGTTGCTAATGTTCAAAAAAGTTCTTCAAAAATATTTTTAGATTAATATTTCAGACAGTTCATTGAAATGATACATTGATAACACATTTATTTGTTATATTTTAACAAAATGTATTTTTTGCAAGCGTTTTAATCAAAACACTATATCTGCCTATTTCTCCACATACAACTTTTGTTTCGATGTAATGGGTCACATATATCTAACAGTGAACGTTACTCCATTTATCTACCAACAGGTCACGTACTTGTGCTCATCGTTGAGAATATGAACTTTGAATGTGCGACCAGTGACAAGCGTCGGGTCGGTGTCAGGAGGCAGGGAATCCTGAGGCGGCAACCAGAGGTTAAATTCTGATAACCAGTTCTGAAGCGTGTTCACCTGAAAAAACAAAAGAAAATCAGATTTTATTGACATAACAAACTCTTGCGTGAATGAATGAATGCTCCAAGCAACATTTTTACAGCTTGATTACTCACAGGGACAATAGCCAGCACAGTGCGGGCCTCCGTATTCTTAAGAAGGATGTCGATAAAAGAAATGACTTGTAGCGTTTTGCCCAAGCCCATGCTGTGGGCGAGGATGCAGCCAAAGCCACTGCTGGTCTTGTACCGCTCCAGAGACTCAATGAGGTTATCATAAAGAAAGCGGATTCCCCCCACCTTAGAGACAAGACGAAAAACATTCGTGGTAACGCACGCTGCACAGTGGGGCTTCTGAAACTTTCTGTTTTGTGAGCTGGAGAGTAGAATCAGACTGTAGCCCTACTTGATGAGGTTTGACAGCTCTGGCCAGCTGTGGGGCGAGATAAATGTCTTTCTCCTCCGGAGGATGGTTGATGTTCACCAGCACTTGACCCTGGGCGTCCGGCAGATTCAGCGCATCGTTGATGTGCGCACCGCTGCTCTCCTCTGAACCAGTGGCACCCTCGGCATCCTCGTCGGCCGACTCGCTGCTTATCTGTAGGGCGTCTTCATCCCCCGAGCTGAGCTCTATTACATCTGCGCCATTATTACCAAACACTGCGTTAGGGACTTTATCAAATCTCTTTTCTTAAAGTCACTTGAATAAGTATTAAAGTTGCACAGAGCTATCGTTTCACTTACCATTTCTAATGGCAAGCGCCGGCAAATTCGACTCTAATTTTTCATCTTCCTCCCCGCTGCTGTCCAGACAGATCACATCTGACGGGACTGCGGGAACTAAATGAGACACTTCTGCTAATAAAGCTGCAGTTTCCACTGTTGCAGAAGAAAAAAGGGGCATTTAGATTTGAAGTTGGTATAACAAAGGATGTGATACAAATACGTTTTCACCACGAAATGACATATTAATCACCTAGTTGAGAATCTGGGAGAACTGAGGCAGGCATAGGGAATTCTTTCCTCTGCTGCTCCAGCCGTTTCCGCCTCTCCATCTCTTCCTGCTGAGCTGCTTTAGTCCCAGCCTCCAGCTGATCCTCCTTTAGCAACTTTCTGTATGTACAAAAAATGTCTAGTTATGTATTTAAAGTGCATACATAATAAGCAAAGAAACAAAGTCAAACAAATGAACCCACCTGATGTTTTTCCTCATGTGTGCAGGCTTTGATGGTTTGGAAGGTTTGGAGCCTTTTGAAGACTTTGATGATTTGGGTAATTTAGAGGATTTTTGTTTCTTGGTTTTACTAGAAGGTGGTTTTCTCTGGCTGGAGTTCTCAGGGCTGGCTGCAGCCTGAGAACCAGATTCAGGTCTGGAAGAGGTCCTGGAGGACGGACGGGATGCAGGCTGGGATGGAGGTCTTGAGGAAGGGTCTTCCGAGGAAACTGAAGAGGAGTCCCCGCCATCCTGAGTGCCGTCTGTTCGACTCTGGGCACTTGCAGGTTGGTCTTGAATAAGATAAAAAAACCAACATTTCAATAATCTTTTGCTCTTCAGCCAGTTTGTTGTTGATTTGCCACAATGATAGAGATAATTTCTCAATTGCATAATCAACTTTCATCTGTAAATATTTCAATACACACATTTTAGGTAACCTTTCCTATTTTCCATTTTTGTTTCTACTTTTTCCACAGTGACATTGTATCTGGTGGGATATTTTCTAAATAAAAAAATAAAAAAATACCATCGTCTTCGTCATCTCCATCGTTTTCATCCTCATCAACATCCATGTCTTCATTCTCCTCATTGTCCTCCTCTTCCTCATTTTCCATGAACTCCACTTCACTCTCAGGGCTGGCCTCCAGGTCACTTTCTGAAATTGCCTCTTCAGACATGTTGTCTTACAAGGCTCTCAAATATTACCTGCACACCTTCATCAGGAGCTTAACAATAGGAATATAAACAAAGAAAATTATAACACTCATCTTTATAACAACGGCAATAATAAATAAAAGCCTGCAACTGATAAAAGGCTTTAATCTCCTTAAGGAGATTAAATAATTGCAGGGGCCTGCCTTTGAGTACATACAGACACTAATAATTAAATAACCAACAAACTACCTATTTTTTATGGTTATGCTCTACAATTTATTTTGCTTTTAAACAAATCTTACACAACAAAAATATTTGTATCCTTTTTGATCATATTAAATCAATTTAAAAAGTGCCAATGAACACACAATATCTCAGTGTAATAGTAATAACAGGTCTAATTACTTGTTAATAAATTCAGTCATAACCTGATTTAAATACTTAACCGAACAGTCTATTGTAGTTCTTAAATTACATAACGAGAAAGCTTTATGTTTCATAAATAAGACTTGATATATTTATTAAAAATGCCAAGATTCAAATTGTGTTTGGCGGACAGGGGTGAGCTGCTGAGCCCTGAAAGGCAGAAAGGCGAAAACAGAATCAGTTAGCATGAAGCCACCTCTGCAGCCTTTGCAATGGATATTATTGTTATTATTGAGCACTAAGCTGCTCTCGACGGGGCGTTTAACAAGTGGCAAGCTAACTGGCTGCATGCATACTAACTGTATTGTTTTCTTCAAGCTGATATGCAGACATGTTAGCTAATTACACAAAACTAAACGCAATTTCAACAGCGGGAAAACACGTAACCTCCACGTGTTAGCGGGAAACGACGTGTGGCCGCAAACTGGGTTGGAAGAAAGCGGGACTGGTCAGGTCCATGTTTCTGTGTGAGATAATCATCTATCGTTGATTGTGTGGGTGTAACGCAGCTAATGCTAAAATTGAAGCGAGGCTAACACACTGGGCTAATTAAAGCGCGTCAGATGCTCTCAAACATCAAGAAGTTTTGAAGCTTACCTTCTGCACGCTGTGTTGTTCAAAAAGCTGGGCTGCTAGTGTGCACAATGAATAGTTAATCGAAAAGTACAGTAAATGTGCAAATAAAGGAGCAAACCTTGCTCATTTTCATTTTTTCCAGTGTGACCATAAATAATGTCCCCGCAGCGACAAAACAAAGGTTCCTCACTTCTGTTTTTTCCCCCTCGGTGATACACAATGAGAGATTTTTATTTATTATTACACCACAGTGTAATTGAATATCTATAGTATTATTCATTTTTGTTTCACTGGCATTAAATATATCTTTAAGGTGATTTCATCATCACTTGTATAGACAGTTTTGAATATTGTTTATGGGTAATAATAAGCATTTCCATAATCAAAACCTATTCTACTGTTTAAACGAAAAAGTGCTTAAACAATCAGTCACTTGTTTGTTTGTTTGTTTGTTTGTTTGTTTGTTTGTTTGTTTGTGTAATTCATTCACAGGAACAGATCAGACTGTGCTCTATGCCAGTGGTTCCGAAACTTTTCAGTTTCTGACCCCCCAAAAAATAAAAGTAACAAGAAAATGCATACTTGAATAACATTGATTAAATTATATGAGACAAATAAACATGGTCACAATGTCAGTATAAACGTTTTTATGACTATATTTTTATTTTGTATTGACAACCATTGTGAAAACACACTGTTAGCGCTTTTGAGCCAAATGATCCAGATTTGCTGGCCGGACTGTTTTTGTGGTGACACCAATCCAGCCTCGCTCGATGACGCGGTTTGCTGGCGACTCATTTTGCCTTTTGTGTTTATGTCGAGCATTATGGTTGAGTCTTGAGTAAAAATGGCGTTCACGTAAAAAAACAAAAAACAAAAAAACTGAATATAGCTTTAGCTGCTTTCGGACATGARTTGGAAAACATCTTAAATGTTAGCCTGCCGTGGACGAGTTTATGAAAAATGAATAAAGGGTGGCTGGAGCTAGAGAGTGATCCAGGTGAGAATTTTCGGCATCGTCGAAGCTAACAAACATTAGCTTCTTCCTGCAGCCAAATGAACGCTTTGACAGGGATTTTAAAGCAGTGGAACGAATAAATGATGACGAATTATAGTATAAGGTTGAATTATGCAATTTTGGCGAGTCAACATTTTAATTAGAAATGATGGACAAACTTTTAACATTACTGATTAAAGTCCTGCCATTTGTTTAGCTAATTAACAAATCCATATTTGATTTATAAACTGCAGGTCTGTTCACTCTGCTGGTGGAAGATTTTGGTGAGCATTATAATGATAGTTAACTTTGACTGTGCATTGTGTCGACATAATCTATTGGGAAAATAATGTATATTTTTTGTAGGTGTTAAAGGTGTGCAAGTAGAGGAAATCTATGATCTTCAAAGCAAGTGTCAAAGGTATGTACCATGTATTAGCGAAATAAAAAGATTGCCACCTGGAATAAACATTCACATGGAGAAATATAAGAATTTGCAACATAAGAATGTGGTGTACCTTTCGCCTCTATGCAATATGTTGTTGGTGATAAGTTTGTTTGTTTATTTATTTATTTTTGCAGTCCTGTTTATGGCTTCATTTTCCTGTTTAAGTGGATTGAAGAGCGTCGGTCCAGGAGAAAAATCAACACCTTGGTGGATGAGACKTCTGTCATTGATGAGGAAATTGTAAATGATATGTTCTTTGCGCATCAGGTAAGTGCTTAGTTGATAACATTTTATCAGATTCAGAATAACTTTATTCATCCCAAAGGAAATTTGCTTGTGTCACAGCTGTACCTGAGAATGTAGAAACAAAGAGCTGTACGTGCAAAATGGTTTAAATTAAGACATGCAGAATAAATTGAAAACAGTATGTCAAGCAGAAAGGTAACAAGAATTTGGTCACATAAAATATCAGTAAAGTAAAATAAGCTGTGCACTGGAGTGAGATGTGCTTAATGGGATTAAAAATGTTCTATGATTAGTAAGAAAATTTGTCAGTGATTTATTTTTATTGGATTTTTTTTTAAACTCACATATTGTTTGTTTTGTTGAGACATTATGTTCCTTTATGTGCAGTTCCCCTTTTTTATTAAAATAAACAATATGAATGATATAAATTCTACCTTCAATAATAACTGACATTTATTGGAGAGCACAGTTATATTTGGTATAAATTTGTATTAAATTTCAAAACAAGTAGATATGTTGATTTTAGATATTTTGTCAGGTCAGTTGTTTTCAGAATATTTGTGTTAGTTATAAAAGTAATTTAAACCATTTAACCAAAATCATTTTTTGTTGTTGTGATCCTTGATGATGATGATGATGATGATGATGATGATGATGATGATAATAATTATTATTATTATTATTATTATTATTATTATTATAATTAGAAGCACTCGGAGAGTGCAAACCTCCGCCAAGACCAATTTCCCCCATCCCACAATGGAGTATTTCGCAGATACCGCCATCTTTGCCTAACGCAAAGCATCATGGTCCAGTTTGGGGGCAGATTTCTATTCTGTGTTCTAAGCTATAGACCTTCATGAAGCTCTAAAGCTCCCACTCCAAATATTTTCAACTGACAAAGCCTCCCTGATAGGAAGAGAAACATCTACAGTTTGAAAATTGAAGTCCAGTTATATATACTGTATAGCTTAAAAATATTGATTTATTTAATGCCTCTAACCTCATGAAAAGCTTCATCCTGATATTGAGGACATTTATTTTATACTAGTTGTCTTTTTTCAGATGAATTATTTTAAGTTTTTTTTATTTTAAGTAAAATATATATTCATATTTTTCTTAATTTTTCAAAAAGCTTTTATATTTATAAGGTTCTACTAATCTTATATAGCTGGGAAATACTTAAATAAGCACAAAACTTGGGACTCAAGAGGTTAAAACTGGTGGGCCACAGCCCCCCGTTGCCACCCCCACTTGTTGTGCCCCTGGTGACTGACAGGTGATGTTCCACAGTGAAAAGATGAGCTGGAGCACGGCGCATCTCTGATAGTTCTAGCTGGAAGACTTTTCAAATTCATCTTCTGAGGTATTAGTAGCCGAACCTGGTACCGGCCCATGACCTGAACCACCGGTCCCCCGCCCGTCGTCTGCGCACGGTGGTTCACTCCAGCCTGTGGGCCGGTTCACGGACTGAACCGCCGGCCCTCTGACCTGCGTCTGTTTTTGACCATTTTCCTGGTACACATTAGAGAAAGAGAGACATGTCTAGCTTTATTATTTTTGWGAAGATTTTTGTTGTTTTGGCAGCCATACAGTCTCATTACTTTTAATTGTATAAAAAGCCTAATCCAGAACTAGGTTTGCAAAATAATCTTTAGCTAGAAAACCTACAGACAAAACAATAGAGGCATTGTTTTAGCATCGAGCCATAGTTTCTGTGCTATCCTTGTTTTCAATCAGTTTAATTTAATTTGATATACTGTAGAAAAAGGAGAGTTATTAAAAATACAGTTATATTTGACTTGTTTGTGATGTTTTTTTCTCTTTCTAGTTGATTGCCAACTCATGTGCCACTCATGCTTTGCTGAGCGTCCTTCTGAACTGCAGTGGAGTTGAGCTTGGCACCACACTCAGTCGCATAAAGGCTTTTACAAAAGGCTTCAGTCCAGAAGTATGTTGTTTTTCTCAGTGGTGCAATAGCAGCTGGTATTTCAATGATGTTTTGATAGTGATTTTATTTTTTAACTGTAGAATACTAAGAATATTCTTAGTTCAGAATAAAAAAAAATCATGTATTTTCATATGAATAGTAGTAAATATGCATTAGAATGTATTAAATTTTTGATATTTTATGTTTAATTATTGTTCCTTGTGAGATTTGGTCAGTATATCTGTAGCCAATAGTTTTTTCCCTATTTATTTCAGAGCAAAGGTTACGCAATAGGAAACGCCCCAGAGCTTGCCCGAGCACATAACAGCCATGCCAGGTAGCTTAAAGTCTATGATACATTTTCAAACTTCTCCTAGGTTTGTGGGACAAAACATTTTTCATTGGTTTGTCATGTTATATAAGATGTCAGCCATTGTAYATGCACTGGTTTCTTAAAACAATTTTTTTTGTGTGTGTGTTTCCATGCAGACCGGAGCCCAGGCACCTTCCAGAGAAACAGAACGGGATCAGTGCAGTGCGGACCATGGAGGCCTTCCACTTTGTCAGCTACGTGCCAATCAAAGACCGTCTCTTTGAACTTGATGGACTCAAGGCTTACCCCATTGACCACGGTGAGAATTTACATTTTCATGGGGAAAAAAAAAAAGTAAATCGAGTCAAGAAATGTATGTTTCACTATTTTTGATCYGCTGCACAACCTGAAGTCAGGTATAGCTCCATGATTAATTTATCTTATGGTGGCTACATGGTCATGAATAATAAGCTTGTTTTCTTTACTTTTATTGATAAATTTAGGGCTGCTTTGTGAACTGCTAAAAAAAAGGATTTATATTTTTATGAACATACATTAGGGCCTTGGGGTGAGGATGAGGAGTGGACTGATAAGGCTCGGCGTGTTATCATGGAGAGGATTGGACTTGCCACCGCTGGGTGAGTCATGCACCAGTTAGCAAAGTGCTTTAGCTTCTACATTCACCCTTAAGGCTTAATTCTAATGCTGCTGCTCTTTTCCCCAGCGAGCCGTACCACGACATCCGCTTCAACCTGATGGCAGTGGTGCCTGACCGCAGAATGAAGTATGAGTCCAAACTGGAAACTCTAAAGAAGAATCGACAGACGATTCTGGAGGGTCTGCAGAAGGTCAGTCACTGAGACGGGCCGAGTTTCTCCAGGAGCTTAATAAAAATGTCTTCGTGTCTAAGTCGAACTTTGCCTGGATCCAGTTTTATTCATGGCGCAGTTTTCTCAGTTATATTTGTAAATGATGTTTRAAGTTTGTCATCACGTTTTCAGATGATCCGTCTCACTCAGACTGAGCACGTTCATGACAAAAAGCAGCAGGACTCTTCCTCACCAGATGAAAGCACCGTCAAGAAAGAAGCAGATGGAGGCCCAGGTAATTCCCAAGGATCCTCCACAGGTATATCGGTTGAGTTCATTTTTATCATCTTTCCTTGTATTATTTCCTGCCATGTGTTTTTCAAGTTTATTCGTATAAATCTTAAACTCATTAAATAAAGCCTCTCATTTTAGAATCTGTGGATGATTCAGGGACTCCGTCCAAGGATGGATCCAGTCCCTCAGGAGGCACTAAAGTCATGGGAAAACCCCCAGTCCCCATTGGAGGAGGTGCCCAGCAGGTCACCAGTCCAAACCCTATTGTTCAGCGCCTGCCTGCCTTCCTGGACAACCACAACTACGCCAAGTCTCCAATGCAGGTGAGGAGAAGTGGAGTGTTTGTCCTGCGTCAGGGGGCACGTTATTTTATTTTATTTTTTTACATTTTAATTTATTTTAGGGAATGCTACGTCCTTTTGAATGGTTTGATTGTAATCCGTTGTGGTCATTTGTTCTTTTTATTGCTGACAGTTCTGYAGCTGTTTTCTGTCATTCATTGTGTTATGATATCACTTTTATTGTTTCTGACCACATCTCAAAAACAGAAAATAGGTTGATTGTTTTTATGTAAGGCGGAGCAAAACAGCAACGAGTTTGAGCTTCAGAGGGTTTTAACTGCATTTGTTTCACATAAAAAATGCCTGAAGATGTGTTTTAGATGTATTTAGGAGCATTTATCTTTTTTTTAGGACTGTCACGGAAAGTCATTGGGCGTCATGCAAGAACCGTTCGTACGCACAGATTTGTTCTTAAATTGTGCGTACGAGTGATTTAGGAGAATTTGTGGCATTCACCTATGTTTTCGTATTCTATGATTTTCTTCAGATACGAACAAAATCCACGTGTGATCCAGACCTGTCCTATATTTTATGAGCAGTCAGTCTGCTATTATCAGATGGATTTTCTTCACTAATAACTTTATATTAGGGTTGGGCATAATCGTATTGTGTGCAATTAATCGTCAGAAAAACAATCAATTAATTTTTGGAACTTGACTATTAATACGATTAATGCCAGCAGGGAGACTGACTGGGGATTACTCCAGTCAGTCCGCTCGGTGCTCCTCTCTGCTTCAAATATGACAAACATTAAAAAAAAGTTTTGCAATTTTTTTTTATCTGTCAACACAATAAAAAATTGATGTATAGCCTGAAGACTAATTTTGACATGATTTGGAACAGATTTTTACGAAGAGCAAATCTTTCCCACTAAATTGGTCATGTGACYAGGACATAAGGGTGTCCAGGGACTCCAGGAGATTAATYGTCAAATTAATCGTTATCAGCTGAATACCACAATTAATCGTGATTAATTTTTTTGCCAATATTTCCCAGCCCTACTTTATATCTAATGCACAAGCCCCTGATACGCATTCATCATGTTTACGCAGCTCATTTACACATTTTTCCTGAAGATAGAAGAGTTTGTTGAATCTGACGTGACATGTTCGTACGAACCCTTCATACGAACAAAAGTAAGAGAAATTTAGGATAAGAATACAAACATGTTCTTGCATGAGGCCCAATGTGTTTTGTCCTCAGGTATACTAAGTTCACATTAAGGCCAAAAAAAAAAACCTCAAAAGAAATTTAAATGTTCTGATTTAGTTTTATCGCTCTTCTCTTTTTTAAAACCATTTTTTATGACTGTGAATGTTTATTATTGATTTTTTTTTGTCTGACAGGAGGAGGAAGATCTTGCAGCAGGAGTTGGTCGCTCTCGAATCTCAGGCCCGCCCCAACGCCAATACTCAGATGATGAAGATGACTATGATGAAGATGAAGAAGTCACAACTACTGCAAGCACTTCCACCAGGCAAGCATTGCACAGTTTTATTTTTTTTCCATTTGTGGTATGAGCCAAATCTAAAGTTCTTTTAAATCTATCTCTCTCTCTATATTTTTCTACAGATTTAGACGGAAGGCAAGTCTTCGCTCAAGAACAGGCCGGACCGGGACAGGAGTGGAGAGCCAAATTGCCCTCAATGTTTTGGCTGAAAAACTGAAAAAAGAGGCTCAAAGAAAAGACGCCTTAAACACTCCCCTGTCCGTGCGCACCGAAGGCCGCACCGGGGGGATTTGCATCACGTCTGCCTCGCAGCCATCCCCCACCCCGAGCAACGAAAGCACCGACACGGCCTCGGAAATCGGCAGCGCTTTCAACTCCCCGCTGCGCTCGCCGGCACGCTCCCAGGCTGCCACCCGCCCGTCCAGTCCAGTCGCATCCCATCTGTCCCGAGTTCTGTTTGGAGAAGACGAGATGCTGAGGCTAGACTCCAGACATAACCGTGCTGTGAGAGAACTCGGACCCTCTGTCAGCGTAACGCTGCTACACCTACAGGAAGACGGAGTCATCCATGCTCAGCCTCCATCTGGTGAGAACACACGGTCTTCAGAAATGTGTTTTAAAAAGCCTCTGCTGAAGTGAACACTACACTCTATATCCTAATATTTGAGTGCAAGAAATAGATATTTAATTACTGTATGTAATGTCAGTGCTAACATTATTTAAAATGTTTTTTAATTTAACATTACAGGAGATTTGACACCCGAGGGCACTAAAGTTTGTACTCCAGAAAAAGTCAAAGAGAAAGCAGATGAAAAAGATGGCTTGAAGGAGGAAGAAGAAGGAGCGTCAGTGGAGGTGAAGAAAGAAGAGGAGGATAAAGATGGAGCAGAGGTGAAACCAGGCAAGGAGAAGCTCAACAGCACAGAGTCTGGTGCAGACAGCAAGCCCCTCGGCGATAAATACTCTCCTAAAGTAAGTCTGAAAAAGATTGTTTTACTTCTTTACTTCTTAGGTGTATTTGAACAACATCATACCTTTTATCATTTTTGTTTCTTATGCTGCTGATAAGGAAGCTGATAACATAAAACATCTAGAAACACACACATTGTGTTTTTCAGGAGCTGCTTGCGCTGCTCAAATATGTAGAGGCTGACATCGCCAATTATGAAGTGTCTCTAAAGGAGGAAGTCGAGAAGAGGAAAAAATACAAGGTCAGTTTTTAATAATCCTGTAATCTTGTGAGACTTTTGAATTGGAATTTTAATCCAAATGTTTTCATCTGTTCAGATTGATGATCAGAGGAGGACCCATAATTACGACGAGTTTATCTGCACCTTTATATCAATGCTGGCCCAAGAAGGTAAAGCCTGGATTATTTTGGCTTCTTTTTTTCTGTTTTCTAAATCATTGCTTCATTATAAAAAAAGGTAAATAATTTAATATTTACAGGATTTTAAACACACAAAACATGCTTTTTTATTTTAAGCAAGGTCAAGTCCGATTTTTATATACGAAATGAAAATGCAATTGCTCTAACACAAAAATATTTAACAGACTTCCTAAAAGTCAAAAAGTAACGATGTGTCAGTCCTCAGTCATTTTTGAAAGTATGTGGATAATCTTTATGAGAGTAAAGGACACAAGACTGCTTTGATCAGAAACAGAAACTTGTCGCAAATTTTCCAAACAAGATCTAAAAACGCTTTAGGATGTCAAGTTTTTCCACACCTAGATACTTAAATTATCTAAAGGACTAAAAGGTTCAATAATAAAATAAAAAGTGGTCTAAAACACTAAAATATTTAATCTCTAACTTTTTGCCTTTTAGACACGAGGTATTCTTTTACTCATTTATCTGTTGACATTGATCTAAGCCCTGACTTTTTGCACCGGACTGTAATTTTCTTGAGGTTTCAGTGGAAAATCATTAGCGTCCAGTCGTTGCATGTCTCTAAAATGAAATATATATTTGCATTTGGGTTGTCTGGCCTAAACCACTGAGCTGTGAAGAATCTCCCCAATTAGAAAGAAAAGGAATGAAAAAAAAAAGTCAAATGGATTTTTTTAAAATCTTAAATAATGTTAAAGCTTTTTTCTTTCACTTCAGTGAAACTTCTTTACACCTTCTCTCCTGATCATTTTTCTTCTGCAGGCATGTTGGCCAGTCTCGTGGAGCAAAACATTTCTGTGCGCCGGCGGCAGGGAGTGAGCATCGGCCGTTTGCACAAGCAGAGGAAGCCCGACCGAAGGAAACGCTCCAGACCTTACAAAGCCAAACGGCAGTAATCAGAAACAATCAGAAAGTCAATAAGTAATCTGTGAGCACAAAGCAATCTGGGCAGAGGGAAAAGAAAACCTGACACACTCCTGAAAGTTGTTCCTAAAGGCAGTGTCGGTGTGAATTTTAACCAGAAACTCTTCTGCTTCATAAAATGAACCATTGATGCTTACAAATGAATCTGTTTTTTAATGTTTTATTTGTCAATACGGTAATAACTTCATCGAGCATGGACTTATTTAAACCCCTGTAACTGTATGTACTCCAGAAGTCAAGATTTCTTCAGTGCCAATAAATTATTAAATGATAGTTTTTTTTCTTCCATTTTCTGAATTTCAGCTTCAGCACATTTATTTCATAGACTCAACTTAATATAACATAATTTTAATCTCATTTATGTTCTTGTCAATTTCAATCTCAAGTCAGATTGTGTCGGAGTTCTTTTTATTTTTCAGTGGAATTAGTTTTTGATAAAGGATCTTTACTTGTTTTTGTACATGTAACATTTTTGAGGTCCTACAAATGAAAACTCCATTTCCCAGTGTTATTTTTCTACCTGACATGGATCTCAGTGAGCTGATATGCAGGTACAGTTTGATAGCTGAGTGGTTTTTGTACATATTTATGTGTTAACTGACTCACTTGTACATTGAGTTCACTCGTTCTCTGTTACTTTTATTCTGAAATAAAGTTAGTGTGAATACCTTCCTCTGATCAACATCTTTTTATATTCTGAAGTTTTATGTGACGCGACTGTAATGTTTGCTGGAAGATTTAAATCAGACTTAACTGATTAAATTTGTACCCAAGAATATTTTAAATAACTTGTAGTGACAATAGGTGTACACCAGGGAGAGTAATTTTTCAAAGGCAAGGGGAATCATTTTAGATGTCTGTAAATAGAACCATTTACAGGTAAAACTGTTTTATAAAACAAGACATGATGAAAACTATATGTCTTTTTCCCCTTTAGTTCCTATTTGTGATAAAAAATATATTGGAGATAGTTAAATCTTTTGATTTTTTAAATTTAATTTTTAAAAGTTTCTTTGCATTGTTGACTGGTTATGACAGTTTGATCAAGTTCATTTTGTGCATTCACATAAAATTTCACAAAATGTGCAGTGTTGAGGGAAAATGGGTTTGTAAGTAAGTAAATAAGGCAAATTAAAGTTTATAAATAATCAGTGTTTACGACACTGGGTCTTGAATGTTAAGTATGTATAGATAAAAAAAATTCTAAACTTCCACACATTAGTCTGCATTGTGTATGTATGAGTCTGGTTTTTTCTGTGTGGTAGTCCATGTTTAGCAAGAAATTATGGCTTTTTTGTTTTTGCATATTCATTTTCCGCCACAGCCACTGTTACATGAGAAAAATCACAGTAAAAAATGTTATTTTATATCACAACAGATGGTCATATTTTATACATTCAGTAGCGTTTAACTAATGTGTGCAGTCCTCGTATTTTAGCATTGAAATGAATGGATTGTTACGGGGTGGACGTGAACTGAATCTAGAAGGCCTTGATGGTCCTTAGTAATGGTTGTTTGCATTAACAGTATGGCAGAACATTGCAACATATAATTAAGCCACACCTACCTCAAATTACTTTTTAGGTAATAGTTTTCCTTTAAGTGAAAAGGACAGAATTCATGTTACATATACTTTAATTTATTTTTTTAAACTTTTGATACTTTAGTACAGAGGTGCACAAAGTGGGGCCCGTGGGCCAAAATTGGCCCGCCAAGCCATTTGATTTGGCCCACCAGCAGTTGTTCTGGTTACTAGATTGTATTTATGTTAAGATTGAATATAAAATACAAGTAACTACAAGAGAAATTTAGATTGGATTTGAGCCCGTATCTAGATTTGCACACCTTATAAGACCACATATACTCAAATTTTAAATTATGAAAAGTCCCACGAGCCTTTGCTGCCTGAGCACACGTTTTCTCCATGTCCATGGGCTGAAAAAAAAAATAAAAAAGAATGTAGGCAACCACACTGGCTGCTAGCTTAATCATAAAAAATAAAACAACTTTAGTTAATAAGTATTTGCATTTCTTATATTATTGCATTTGGCCCGTGGCACTCAGATTGATTTTAATTTTGGCCCTCTCAGGGAAAATGTTTGGGCACCCCTACTTTAGTACAATAAATGCCAGATACTTTAAGACATTTACTCAAGTACTATGAGGATATCATATATGCTATAATGTTAATGCATAATAAGGTAGTATAATAATTTATTTGTAAGGTATTATGTTATCTTATCTTTTACATAATAGAAGGAATTATATGAAAAAAATGTCTTCCCTTTAGGCTTGAAATAACAGAGCTGTGTGCGCGCACGTAAAAGGAGCACAAGTCACCGCCCATTGCGTCAGCGCGCTCCTGCAGCCTCTCTGTCAGCGCGCGTGCTCCGTGCGGGATGTTAAATTGTAGGCGATGATGGCGGAAGGGGAGCAACGTTGAGTTCCATCTGAGTTTCCACCACAGCTGTAGAACCGTCTACAACATCGTTTCTCTCCGTCGAGACCTATCCCGAGGCGATGGGCAACGAGGCCAGCATGGAGGGGGAGGGACAGCCGGGGCAGGCCGGCCCCGCCGTCCCTGCAACAGCAGGTGCTCCGGCTTCCATTTCAGCACCACCGGACTCTGGACAGCTCATCAAGCCGAGCAACGGAGCGCCAGCCGGAGGAAGCGGCTCTGCGTCCGGCCCGGGGATTAACAGGTAGCCGCGATAGCTAGGAGGCTTCACCGCCGAAGTGTATGGCTCGAAAACAGCGAGGCTTCAGGGCAGCGTGGTGTTTTCCCTACGTTTGTACAGAGAGCAGCGTAGACACCGACTGCGTGTAGATCGACTTGAATGAGCGCTCAATTATTTATTTCAATATATCCCTAACAGCACAATTCACCACCTACTCTTGACTTGATACCTTTACACCTTGCTAGTTGTCGCCACATTGGTTTAAAATGTTTTTTTTTAAAAAGCGAATGTGAAAATAAGATGGTTTAAAGCGTTTCAGCAGGAAATTTCTACGCCCTTTTTACGACATCTGCCCCAAGGATTCAGTAAGTGTCATGAATGAAAAAGCGACGTTTCTCCTCCCCTTCTCTTATACTGAAACAAGGGCACGTAAATGTGAATACTCGGTCTGGCAAATAGAATTTCTCCGCATATGATCAACTAGAAAGACAAAACACGGACAATAAATTAGTAATGTAGATGATGCAAAGTGCACTGCATCTCGCGCTGAAGGGATGGGTCGGTCCTATTACTGCTTTCACATGAATACCAGTAAATCCAGAGTCATTCTGAAAACACACACACACACACACACACACACACACACACACACACACACACACACNCACACACACACACACACACACACACACACACACACACACACACACACACACCTCCCTCCTTTTCCCTGTATCCTGATGACTGTATGTGTGTGTGTAGAATGTCAGTGCTCCCATCAGATATCACCATCGTCATTGAGAGCAAAGCACCCAAACGGCAGAGCTACAGATCTCATCCTCAGATCAATATGCTGTTAGAGAAAATAGTTTTTCACCATCACAGCTGCACAGAAAAGGTTCATTTATTATGGGGGTGGTGGGGTGTGTGTGTGTTGCATCTCTTTAAATGAAATCCAGACACTCAATTCAGTCAGACAGCTTTTTTTTTTAGAAGACGCCGCTCCTGTCCTACCTACCCTTCCACATTCGAACCCCACTGCCGCCTTATAATAACTGGTATGAGGGTGGTCAAACACAAGCCCCTCTCTGATCAGTGATCACATGTGCTGTATAGCAGCTGGCAGGTCTGTATTTTCTGTGTGTGTGGGCGTTGTGTGGTAGGGATTACCCTCCTAACAAGATCTGATATTGCCTTAATTACACAGTTCAACAGTTGTAAACCTGAACACACACGCGCACACTGGATTTGCCACACCTATTTACAATCCCTCTAAACTTGCTTTTTATAGATTGGAAGCAAACCCTTGTAAGGCTAAAATTCAATAAGGAGGTTGAAAGATGCGTGTGGCTTTCACTTCTTTTGTTATTGCCTGCTGCCAAAAGGCGAAGGTGGTCAATAATGTTTTGACCATGTTTGTTTTTTAATGAAATTGCAGACAGTAATCATTTGATGTAAGTACATCTACAAGTGTTTAAAGGAGACATGTCATGCTTTCAAATCCTTCTTTTAACATTTAAATCATTCAGTTGGGTCTATGTAAAATGGAACTGCAATGCTTGAGTCTGAATTCCTCCATATTGTAACTCCACAAGCCCTTCTGTCACCCCTTTTCTTAAAAGTGTCTCAGATCAACTCGTTTCGAAGCTGTTTCTTTAAATCCAGAAAAGACACCCCCCCACACACACAGTTTCCAGACCGGTTCATTCCAGTTTGAACGAGGGATTTATGACTATTTGCAGCAGAAACTTTGTTTCTAAATTCATTTAAAGAAGTCAGCAAGGAAAGACCATCCAGCCTTACATGTTGGAGCAAGAGTCTGACCCAGAGCCAGAGGAGAATGAAGATTAAAATTAGTAAATCCGGACCTTATTTGGCAGTTTTGTTGCAAATAATTTGACGTAATAATTTAGGAAACATAGAGGAAACTGAGCAGGTTGAGAAATATGACCAAACAAAATAAAAAAATATCTATACAACACTGGGAGTAACTAAATTCAAATTTTCTGCACTCATAGAGACTCCAAGTACACAAAAAAATGCATTTAATTTTCTAAAAACATGGCTTTTGCACAATATGTCCCCTTTAACCTTTGGAGTCAATCGAAATCAAGATGGCTGCCTCAGCCTACTTGCATGAAAAACACCAAAAATGACATAACTCTGTTCAATTTGCAGCTATAAAGCTAATTGTTGTCTGGTCCTAGCTGAGTCACTCTCAACACATCCTTCATGTGCTAACAGATGACGTGAGATCTTGCAATATTGTATTAAAGCATTATTAACGAGGTTTGACCAAAGCCATTTACGCTGTCCTTTCTTATCATAGGATGATCTTAGCTTTTAAGGAATGTTAGGCCTTTGATTGTATTCAAGTTTTTAAGGTGCAACATGGACTTTTTAAATCTATTTTTTAAAATTATTCTTAAGCCAACCGAGGTTTTTTTTTTTTTTGGGAAGATCACACAGTTCATTTTGTGTATTCACTGTGGTGCTGCAGATTAAAACGCTCATAGCTTCCTTGTAATCTTGTGATTCTTTTATGTGTTGATTTCTCTCTGGTATCCACCCTTAGGTATCTCATAAAGCGATGGCAAGTGCTGAGATGGAGTGTGCCAAAAGACAGAGAGACATAATGAGAAACCGAAAGTAAAAAGAGAGCGACTGATTTAAATAGTTTTCTTAAGATCCTAATATTCGAGCTTTAAAATAATCTTTTTACCAAGAACGTCTGAGACACAATGAGACAGCGCTTGGTTGCAGATTAGATGGAAGACTCATTTTAATGAGGTGAAAAGTAATATTATGCTTGATAATATATTATCCAGACGTAAGTTACTGTACACGAATGACATCTTTGCTCTTTTCAGGCCATATAAACGTGCATTAAGTCTCAGTATGAGAACTAAATCTGAGCCCTTATAGGATTCTGTGATGTTATGGTATTCGGCGACCTACAGTAATTGTTTTCTTCTCTTGTCATAACAGCTTTGATAAGTGCACAGTCATCCTGAACTTCTAAGCATTACTGAAGAGCATTCTGACACAAGCTCCAAGTACTTCCTGTTTACAGCCGTGTGCCTCAGCCATAACATTAAAACCCCTGGCCAGGTATTGTGTAGGTAACCAGTTGTAAACGTCCTGGTGTCGTGACTGATCCATTTGATCTTCTGGGTTTTTTAGGAGGCTTGTGGTCCACAGTTGCTTGATTGAGTTTGGTTTTCATTAAAGCTGATCCTGGTTTGTAGTGTGCTGCTGACTGGAGGACATTGATGTCTGGTTGCCATGAGAATTGTGCACGTTGCAGGTGGTGCATGCACAAGTTTGCCTAGTTCTTTTAGCTCTTGAATGCCAGGGTCTTAAATCAACGTCAGTAGTGGTCAATACTGCACTTGTTTAATTGTGTATTTTCTTGTCTAATTATCTTCTGCCTCAAAACAAAATTAGTTAGTAATGGGACTTTCTTTTATACTGTATGCTTTGGGTGTGGAAAGACTCAATTCTTGTTTTTCATGTTTTCTGGCGATACTGGCTCTTTTTGCATCCAAATAAAGAAAGACTTCATAAAAGCCATTTTAATAATGTCTACATTTATGTTCTCAGACGTAATGTTCAGACATTACGTCCTCAGGGTTCATTTATGTTCAGCAGTAGGAGCTCTGTGCACTTTATGACCCAGAAATAACAAATGGTTCTCGTTACCTCAAACTACGAATGTAAACACAGTTCTTTATTTTAACATTTTTCTATGCAAAAAAGAACTATCTGAGATTTTCATGAGAGGTTGGAGGAAAGCTAAACTAGTCTGTTAAATTAATTCTTAGCTTTCTGAAACTACATAGTCAAGTTTACTACGTAACTCTCAATTTTACATTTTTAAATTATAAATAGTTTGTCTAAGCAAGGAGAAAGCTACACTGTTGAAGACCAGTAGGTCTCTTGCACTTCCATATTTTGGTTGCATAACTACTACACCAAGTTTACTTATAAATACATTCAGTGGGTGCATCTTTCCACTGATCAGAATAAAAGTCACACTTTTTTCTGCATTTTCAGCTTTTTTCACATCCATGTCTCAACTGCCCTTTTCTTGTATTTAACCCATTTTGTCAGATTCTAACTGTAAAAAAATGTCTAAATTTGGAAATCCGAAGTGTGGTGAACAATTACTAGAGATGATTTGATGGCAGTTTAAAATAATTTAACTGGAACTTGGTTGTCTACCTCTGTCAAATATTTTAGTAAAACCTATTTCAGTTTTTACTAATGCCAAACATTAAAGACAATATTATTCGTCATATTATTTTTCATTGTGTGTGAATACAGGACAACAAGGAAATTTTCATTTTTAATTTAGAACAACGGCAAATAAATATATAGCTTGTCGTCATTTGACAGGAATAACGTGACTGGGTCTGCATGGCGGTGCGATAATTAGCACTCTCATCTCACATCAAGCAGTTTCACCGATTTGAATCTCAGTGTGCAGTTTGCACACTGCCTGTGTGGGTTTTCTCTAGTTACTCCAGTTTCTTCCCATAGTCCAGAAATAAACATGTTAGGGCAATTATTGATTCCAAACAGACTGTAGAAATGTGTGTGAATGCTTGTTTGTCTCTGTTGCAATGGACTGGAGACACAGCTACGTGACTGCTCAAATAGACTGTGAGCTCTTTCTCTGGTTTCTAGGGTGTCCAGATGTCTGCAGGACAAAATCAAAAAATGTCATGTTTGTTAATTATAAAACTGATAACATTTTCTTGCGTGGGAAAAATGCAACTTTTTAATGTAACACTCTCTGCTGAAAGCAGCTAATGGTTGATGCTGTTTTGATAACTGATGCAGGGTTTGACAACAAATGGTGCTTCTGCACACTCAACCCAGATGCTTTTCTGCTTTGACCTTTAAATACAACTAAACGGAAGGCACAAAATAGCTTTTCAATCCGAAGCCTCAACTTCTCCATTTCACTTACTGTCAAAAGAACCATAAATCAATAAGAAACACATAGATCTCCACAAAAAGTGACACTGATACAGATGTAATGCACCTGGCTTAAATTTACTGCACATCCAGCAATATATCTTCATTGCTCTAAAAAGCAAACATAACATATTTAAGTTGTTTTCTTGGGTTATATATATA